TCTCTCTCCTCCTCCTCCTCCTTCCTCGTCCTCTTTTTTTTTTTTTTGTCATCACCATCCGAATCTGGCAGGTCCTCCTCCTCCTCCTCCTCTCTTCTTTCTCTTCTCTCCTCCTCCTTTTGTCTTGTCCTTCTCTCCTCCTCCTCATCCTCCTCCTCCCCCCATCTTCTTCTTCTTCTCTCCTCCTCCTCCTCCTCATCATCCTCTCTTCTTTTTCTCTTCTCCTCCTCCTCCTCCTCCTCCTTTTGTCTTGTCCTTCTTTTTCTTCTCTCCTCCTCCTCCTCCTCCTCCTCCTCCTCTCGTCTTCTTTTTCTTCTCTCCTCCTCCTCCTCTCGTCTTCTTTTTCTTCTCTCCTCCTCCTCCTCCTTTCGTCTTGTCCTTCTCTCCTCCTCCTCTTCTTCTTCTTCTCTCCTCCTCCTCCTCCTCCTTTCGTCTTGTCCTTCTCTCCTCCTCCTCCCCCTTTGTTCTTCTCTATTCCTCCTCCTCCTCCTCCTTTCATCATCTTCTTCTTCCTCCTTTCTTTATCTTCCTCTTCTTCCTCCTCCTCCTCCTCCTCCTCCTCCTCCTCCTCCTTGTTCTCCTCTCCTCCTCTTCCTCCTCCTTTCGTTTTTCAAGTCTCCATCTTTTTTCTCCTCCTCTCCTCCTCCTTCCTCCTCCTCTTCTTCTCCCTCCTCCTCCTTTCGTCTTCTTCTTCCTTCCTCCTCCTCCTCCTTTCGTCTTCGTTTTCCCTCCTCGTCTTTTTACTCCATATCTTACCGCCCACCATCTCGCACATCCGCCAGCCATATTGTACCGCCTGCCATATCCTACTGCCCGCTATTGCCCGCGTTTTTTTTCCCCTGCTGAAACCAGTCTTGCAAATTCACACTCAAACATGCATGCAATAGATGAGATTAACTTGGCGCTGTGCACCCAACTCAAACTCGGAGATGTAGTAGCTTGCAACTCAACTCAAATCCAAGTTTACATCAGTTGACTATGGCGCTTGGCGCCCACACTTACACGCCTGACTCAGAGTTCACACGCAACTCGACTCCGGATCACCCTGGATACCATGCACGCCAA